GCCATTCCAGAACACCCAGATCCAGGTGAGGACTACAAGGAACCTCTTTATGGCCCAAATGAAGTTGTTGATCCACCTGAAGCACCAGAAGAAGATGCGCGTCTGGTGGACACGGGCATGAAGCGCAGCTTGGAAGGAGCAGCCACTGATCAGCGGGCACCTCAGCGCTCTCGCATCTTTGGTCAATGGCGTGCAGACGATCTCACAGAGTGGGGCAGCAAAGCTATGTTTCCAGTGGTTGCCAACCAACGTGACCTCCAGGTCTTTCACAAGGTGATGAAGAATGACACCTACTACAACCACTACCTCCAAGAAGAGAGCTCGCTGTCCTACCTCACCAAACAGAGTGGCAAAGAGCTGAATGAGAAGAAGTTGAATGATGCTGAAAAGAAGCTCTTCGCTGAAGCTAAGACCAAGGAGATCGACAACCTGATTGGCTCCAACGCCATCGAGATGATCACTGATCAAGAACAGATCAGGTGGTGGCATGACAAATACAGTCACCGGATCATGCCCAGCCGGTTCATCATAACAAAGAAGACCGGCGAGGTTGGCGAGCAGTGGAAAGCCAAAGCACGCTGGATCCTTCTAGGGCATAGAGACCCCGACAGCCTCCAGTTGGAGCGATTTGCACCGACACCTTCAAGCACCACCGTGATGCTGGCACTTCAGATTCTGTCATCCCTGCAGTTCCACCTCTTCATTATGGATGTCAGCTCAGCTTTTGGTCAGAGTGATCCAGTTGAACGTGAACAAGGACCACTATATGCTTCCATGCCTCCAAGTGGCATCCCAGGCTATGGTCAACAGACCCTCATTCGAGTGCTCACTGCAGTCTACGGCCTGGTGAATGCTCCAGCAGTCTGGCGACGCACAGTCAGGCGAAAGCTGTTGACTTTGGGCTATGAGGAGAGTGTTTTCGATCCATGTCTTTACTACCTCAAGCCCACGGAGGAAGAAATGGCTGGCAAGAAACTGTTTGTGGCTGGCATTGTGTTGTTAGATGTGGATGATTTCTGCCAGGGTGGCAACGCTCGTCATCAAGAGCTCATGAACCAGCTTCGCACGCAGCTCAAGTTCGGCAAGTGGAAGGATGTCTTCGACAGCTCAGCCGACTACATTGGCAGGACTCTGCACCAGCTCCCGACCTTCGAGATTCAGGTCAGCATGAAAAGATACATCCAGGAGAAGCTCCGTCCTGTGACCCTCACCAAGGAGCGCATGAAGCAGAAGCAGGAGCTCCTGGACGAAAAGGAGATTTCATGGCTCCGTGGAGTTGGCGGCTCACTTTTGTGGGTCGGAAAGGAGGGCCGGCCAGATGTCGGCGCCGCATGCGCTATGTCCATGTCCTGGCCTTCGACAGGACCAACGGTGGAGCACATCCTGATGGCTAACAAGACAGTTGCAGAGCTGAAGCAAACGATGGACGCCATCATCAGGATCATGCCGATCCCTGCGGAAGAGAGCATCTGGATGACGGTTGCGGATGCTTCCATGGCCAACGTCGAGAACAAGTCGCAGGGTGGCTTTGTGTTGGCGCTCGCTCACGAGAGCATCATGAAGGGCCAGGCCGCTGATTTCAGCTTGAACTCCTGGCGAAGCCACAAGTTGAAGCGCGTCGTGAAGGCGACGCTTGGGTCAGAGGCCTTGGCAATGGATGATGCGCTGGCTGAAGTGGAGTGGATTCGTGCACTTTGGCACGAACTGCTTGACCCCAGCAGCTGTGTGCTGGATGGCTCGCGGCTCGGAGACACCGAGTCAGCGATGGTGGTGAGGCTCCCCGAGCACAACGAGGACTTTGAGATCGCCTCGATCCGGGTCAAGGACGATGGCACTGGAGCTCACGTGACTGATGCCAAAGCTTTGTTTGATTTGCTCAGCAGGCGGTCAGGAAACGCTGGCCAATGCCGCAGAGCGCAGATCGATGTCGCTGTGATCTGCATCTCAGCCCGACTTTTGAAGGTCAAAACATACTGGGTGCCAGGATCCCAGATGTTGGCCGATCCGCTTACGAAAAGATGCGGAAATAGCATGCTGATGAGGCAGGTGATGAAATCTGCACAGTTCAGCCTGGTGAAGGAACCTGGGTCATGAAATGTCCCCCCGAAGGATGTGGAAATGCATAGCATTCAGAGCATGCTCATGACCCAGGGTCCGGAACCCCTTTCCCGCTGGCCACCATTTGGCCCAACCTTCATGTGCCTTACGAGGCGCCTTGAGCCCCCTTTCGTTCATGGCGAGGAAAACGGCCGATCTTCGTGCGGCTCAACAGACTGAATCGGCAAGTAGTTTGTCTACGCAGGTAAGCGCTAAAATTCCTATAACATGATTCAAGACAGGTGGAGTGGGGTTGTCGCATCGTGTTCAGGCTTCCTCGCCAGAGTACCTGACAGTTTGCAAGGTAGCTATCCTGTGACCAACCGACTGCCAAAGAGTGATCCAGAAGGTTTATCGGTCAACCCCAACTGCCAGCAGGTCTCATGTGGTCCCATTGTGTTGTTGGAGATGGGCCCATGATTCAGCAAACATCAAGTCTTCGTGGTGGCCCCGAAACAGATACTGTAAAACATGTTAATCTCTTCATCATCAGGAACCGAGATGTTCTTTTCGCTTGTTCCTTTTGTTGTGTCGGGGGCACAATGATCAATCCCCAGAGTGCACTTTAAATGGGAATGACAAGGGTCTGACATTCCGCTTATTTCGTTTGAAGGTAGCTGCGCATCCTACTGGAATCATTTGTGTACATGTGGCCTTCCTTCTGAATCTCAATAACTCTTTTACATACCTTTACATTGTTTTCACGAACTTCATCATCGGACCGGATTTTGCTCAAGGCACTTTGCAAACTTGTCGTGGCTCACAATGAGTTTGTTTCGCTCAGCAAAGGGACTATGTTCTAAACCTGTTGTCGTTTTCTGCCGGCCATGGGTGCGTCATGTTTGCATAATCCCTTGGACTTCCCTGGAAGCTCCCAAAGATTGGGGAAAGGATACAATCTCCATCACAGCGGCTGCATTTGAAGGCTGCCCCCTTATTCAGATAACGCCGCAACGCAGGGGAATAGTGCTTGAAACAGTGGCGCGGAGATCATTTGCAAAAATTCACCCGGGTTACTTGGTTGAAGATCCGATACCAGGAGAGCGATGTGACGGAAAGATGCGTGCCTTGCATTGTGCTGAATACGATTGGCTTTTTGATGGCAGAAGGGTGCAGTGTAAGTCGGCTCAAATGTGTTGGAGAGCATCACACAGTTTGTGGAGAATACATTTTTGTGGCATCCATTTACGATCGTTTGATGACCTGGTATTGGTGGTGTACAGTCCTTCTGGGCTGCATTTGTTCACACATGATGGCATGAGCAGGCTTTCAAATAGAGGAGTTTTTACAGCTCATGCTGGACTTGCATTGAGTGTAGATAGTGCCAAAGGCTTGCTGGATTGGAGAGAGGCAGAAGGTGTGATCCTGAAGAAACTTCAGCAGTCTGGCCAGTACGTCACTTGGCTGAAGACTTCCAACGAGCTGGTGGGTGAAGTTTTGCAGCGACACACCGAACAAATTGCATTGAAACTCCAGCGTGATGCATTTGCGCAGCATCCCTTGAACCACATGACACCTACAGCACGCGGCTTGGTGTTCCAGCGTGTGGTGCAGGAAGTAGATTTGCTTAGCCATCCTGGTTGCTTGTTTACAGGTTCAACCGCGCACAGTTCACCTTGTGATTGGCATAGAGATGGTTTGCGAGTTGAATGCAAATCGTCGAGGCTAACTTGGTCTCGAGGTTCTTGGCGTTGTAATTTTGACGGTGTCAAGTTTGGCAAATTTGATTGTTTGTATTTGGCTCTGGATTCACCAGATGCCCTTCACATTTTTCGATTTGCTGGCTCAAAGTGGATTTCCTCGAACGGGCTGAGGGAACAAGCAAAAGGAAAGCGGATTAGGGTCTATGGCCCTGCGAGGGAGACAAACGCTTTTGTTGCAATAGATGTGATCACTCAGAAGCTCTTGAGCTCTGGTAGTGAGCACGTGGCCTCGGTGGTGTGGTAAATGCCGCGGTCAGATCCAGTTTGCTTTGACCCGTTCCCTGACGCCCAAAAGTGCAGGCCCAAGTTGCCGCTTCCATCGGTGAGGGTTGCAGCGTCATCAGCGAATTTCAATTATCAAAGGTAGCTTGTAGACCATGTAGACAAAACCATTTCCAGAAGGTCACGACGACTTCATCTCAAGGGTGTTTGAAGCACCGAATCCGAAACAGATCATTTTTTGCCCTTTGCATTCTGCTCTGTGAAGCGAAGAGGAATCAAGACAGCTTGAGTGGTTTTGTGGAGTCGTAGATTGCGCAGGGTGTTTTTGTTGGTCCTTGCAGTGGTGGGAGGGTAGATCGAGTTGCAGGGGCAAACGCGTGAGATTCTACTGTCCAACGCTACCAGAATGAAGCGGCAAATACTTTGTCCATGCAAACTCCCTGCTGGCAATGAGTTCAGATTGGGCTTTGCACTTCTCGACAGGTGGCAAGATACTCGACCCCTTGATGAGTCCACCAGAGGTATCGATCTTTTGCATGATGGTCTAGAATGCAGAAAAGACCTCCTGGAAGAGGAGAACCATAAATAGACTAAGGCAACTGGGTGCGGGGGCTACCTATTCCAAAAACACCCATGGTGTGTTCTTGATGTCATCAGTTGTTAGGATTTTCTGCATGTGTGGGCCAATTTTGCCAAAGATCGGTCCACAACCAAGATGGCGGGTCTCGCAGGGTCCCATTGTCATGTTGGACACGTGCCCATGTTTCAACAAACATCAAGTTTTCATGGTGGCCCCCCGAAAAAGTTTGCATGATTAGACATGTGAATCTCTTACAGTAGAAATCGGAACCGGCATATTCTTTCCGGTTTTTTGGCACATCGCACTCTTTCCTGTTTTCCTTCACCTGACTGCGATCTACTTCACCACTGGTGTAGCATGACCTGGCTGGGTATGGCCTTGCGCTCCGCAATGGTCAGGACTATGCGCGGCTTTGCGAACTGAAGCCTGAAGCAGCCACGAACATTCAGGTGCCACACGGTTTCCAACCACGGGAGGAGTGTCTCCAGACAGGGTAAGAGGGGTTTTATCGAAGATGTTGTCGTAATGCTGAAGTGCAGGTGCGTGTGTGTTTATGTATGTAAGATGTGAACATATTTGGTCAAATGGACATGTTTTGTAGCAGGGCACACAAGCTGACACGGAAGATATCTAAAATCTAAGACATCCTTGCCAAACTGCTAAACGGTGACCGGTTGTGTAGGCAATGACGCTCCAATGGCAAAATAGACTGTGCCATGCATGTGATAAGATAGGGATCTACTCAAGGACATGATGTGATCCGCTGCTCATGCCAGGACTGATAAATCAAGAAGGTACAGAACTTTGAAGGCCCTAGAGGGTCTGGTCTTTGACATCCACACCAAGCAGAAGAAGACTCATTGGATGCGTTTTTTGGCTAACATACTCACATCTAGCAGAAGCACCATAAATGGTACAAAAGGTCTGTACATCAGCCCCATAAAAAGGGTAGAGAAAATCACAGTATTCTATCTATCCGATTCCTATTGTTCAATTTATGTTTTGAGCATAGTAGTATATAAGACACATATAGAATCACCCATCAAAAGCTCAGATTGCAGCGAAAGAGTGCTTTGGATGTGCCGCAGGCGGGCCTTGAGATGGGCCTGGAACAATTGCAGCGAGAGGCCCGAGAGTGGCGCCAACGGGGACCAATGGAGTCATCCATCCCGCGCATCACTTCGTTGATGGCATCCACTTGAAACTTAGGTCTGGATACTCTGTGGTCATTTTAGACATCATGCTGTTTCAACTGGTGCTGTGATGCATCACTTCGTTCATCTCGTGGTCCGTGCCGTGTAGAACCATGATCAACACATGTCAAACACAATGTCAATACCCCAGCAGCCAAACATCTATAGATCAATATATAGATCCAATGTCTAAAGGCACACTGGATCTCAACACCTCATCCAATTCAGGGGTTTTGACCCCTGCACAGTAGGAGGATTTTGGACCACGGTCAATATATGTCGAACCCCCCTACTAACCTACTATGTCAAAATGCTGTCAAAACCACAATATCCTCACCATGCATGCTGCTCATGCAGGCAAAAGCTCGAACATCGTCTAGGGCCTTTTGGGGGCTTTTTGGGACTGGTGATTTGGGGTGTGTGTGCAAGACCTTCACCACTTGGCACTCCCTGAATCATCATGGTTATGTGGATGGCATGACTCGGATGGCCATTGTTCCGAATACCAAACAGGTGGAGTTTTCACTTCACCTAAACATGGTGATTTCAGGGAGTGTAACACTGACTTCCTGAGCCTATTAGATCCTCCCAAGGGTTCCAACTATAAGCCCAGGTGGTGAACTCCACTTCCATGATTCTTTCATATTGTTTCAAGGGTTAGAACCACCGGTGGCTGCACCAGGCCGGCGCAGCGCCGCCGCAGCGTGGCTTCCTCGACTGGCTTCGGGGGGCTGCTCCGCAGGATGAAGCTGCAGATGTGGAGCAGGTGGGTGGGGAGAGGTAGGTCAAGCGATGTGGTCGGTGGTTATCTCCTTGAACATGTTGATTGGTTCCCCATATATTAAGCGTGAGCAGGTGGAAGAAGTTTTACACAGTTTCATATTTGGGAAGCTGAAAGTACGTCAATCAAAACATGGATTTGATCTTGGAATGTGTCACAATTGCCTGCTACAAATGATCCCTCTTCTGGGGATTGGGAAGACTCTTCTTACTCTTGATTCTCTACAGACTATTGTGCACCCCCCTCGAGTCAGACCGGAGGCTTTTCCTACCACCCATCCAAGGTCTTGAAGGGTGTATGAATGCCCTGGATGGGTGGAAGGCAAAAAGTCTCTCGTCCGACTCCAGGGGGTTGGAATCGGACCTCCCAACCCCTCCCGCTCCGAGCTCCGAGCTCCAGGCGAGCTCCATGGCGATCCTCCTCTCCGATGGTCAGCCCAATGGCGGTATCAGCGACAAACAGGCGACCAACTCCAAAGCCGAGTCCGCCATCCAAGCTGGGTGGATCACATGGGCCTTTGAACCATTTGGAACCCATGGGCATGTGCTATAGCGAGCCAGAGGGGAGCAACGGCTCGCTCGTTCCGAGCTCGGTCTTCCCCAGCGAGAGAGAGACCGGGGGAGCAGGTCACTCGCTCCGCGGGTCACGGGAGGTGCCCGGAGCCCGCCCTTGGCTGGTTTGGGAACCGCTCGGCTGGAATCCTCAGGGTTTCGTTTGAGTTCACCAGCTACCTATTTGGCTTTCGGAACATGGTCGGTCTGAGTCCTTTGGGGGCCACGCCATCCCATCCAGGGCCAGGCCCTATACGACGAGTCCCGGGACAGTCGTTTGGATCGTTTTTGCTTCAACCTCCGATTTGGGGTGGTGAGCATCCAATCAAGATGGTGGTGAAGGGTGTTTGTTGTCATCTGCAACCTCGGAGCAAATCGTTGGGTTGGTCTGTTTTGTCGGGAAGGACATGGTGAATCGTTCCAGACAGGCCCTGGCCTGTTTGAAACGTCACGTGCCATTTAATGACTGCTTCTTTGTGCCATCCACGTGCTGTTGACATTGGATCAGTCCCTGACATTGATATCGATGAGATCGGTTTTGTCTCATTTGGCACAGTCAGAATCGATGTGGGTCGGGGCTGTTGTTGATTCCCTGAGAAGCCTAGACATGCATGTGATTTTGAATTTTGTTTGGATTTTTTTCTTCACCTCTCTCGGGAATGGCAAAGGTGTGATCAAAGTCAGATCTCACTTGCAGAACCTCTGGGCCCAAATAGGATATGATTTTACATATCGCCTGATTGTGTAATAAAGAACAGGGGGAGTGATCTCCAACCATTCCCCTTCCTAAAGCTTGTGTGGAGTGTGTTTAGTTTAGTCTTAGTCTTATATAATTTCATGCCGCAACTTTGAGTCATCAAAGCTCTTCCAAACACGAGTTGTTTCTTTCTCCCCGGTCATACGAGTCACCTGACATCCGCTGTCTCAGGGGCTTTTGTCCTTGGCATCAAGACTCTGCCCATCAGAGGTCACGATGCAGCTTGGATGGTGCAAAGAAATCTGGGTTTGGGTATAGAAATCTGGGTTTTACGTTCGTAGCATCTCTTGTTCCTAGTAGTAATGCCAGAAGCTACTAGTAGCGATACCCTTGTGACTAGTAGCTTCTTGCTACCCATAGCAATGCCCTTGTGTGAGTCATACATCGTCAGGGCAAAAAACACGCTCAAGTATGGTAGGTGACCGTGAACATCCCAAAATAGACTAGGCTATGGTCATTGTTGTGGATTTGGACACCAGGGGATAGTTCCTTTCTTCCCGATGCCCGGTTTCGATATTAGTTTTCAGGAAATCATTCTTTTTTCGTGGCCATCAGGAATATTTTGGCCGTAGCCTGTCAACTCATCTGGTTGCGAAGTGACCATGAGGCCGGAATTTTATTAGGAAAGTCGATCCTTACTTTCCTAATGTAACAAAGTCTTGTTTTTTTTCCCTGTTGTGGCTTTGGGATTATATAGTCAGTCAAAGCACATGGCATTCTTTGTTCTAGATCTAGATACGAGCAACATTCCAAAGGGTCTGTGCACACATGTTTATGTGAGAGGAACTATTTCATTGAAATCATCCAAAAACCTGTAAAGCGATATAGTGACAGTGACCCCCCAAAAGCAATACCTTCACAAGGTACACTTCAATCATTTGATTCAAATCTACTTTGCACCATTGTCAGACGAAAGCTCTTGAAATCCGTTTCTTGGCTTTGTTTTCGCTTTACATGAAGCGATACCAAAGCGATAACGCTGGATGCTCAAAATGTGGTCTAGATGAGCGCATCCCTTTCGCATCAATGAAGAGCCCTTTCTCTTTCTTCCTCTACCCATATCCATGTGCACTTCACTTTGGCTATGTTTTCAAGATAAATTCTCAAGAAATATGACAAAGGCATCACTGTAAAGCGATATGGCGACGACCCCCACAAGCGATACCACCATATAAAGTTCCACCAAATGTGCCCATATGTTTTGGAGTTGGCTCATATTCTGTTGCGTGGCACACCCCTTTTTGGGTTTACCGAATCTTCTTCTAAACCTTGTTTGGAGGTGGTAATTCTGATGATGAGAAGGGAAGATTCTGGTCTCCAGGACAAGTTGATAGCCCATCCCCCGTGAGCCATGCTCTAGAAAATGCCAATCACTTTCCACTATGAAGTGGGTTTGGGACCCTAATTTTATAGAGAGTACATGGTTTTGGATTATCAGAATCATATTATCATTGGAGATCATTTTACAGGAGATGTGTGTAGGTTTGGTATGTGTGTTGGATGGCGTTGCCAATATAGACCCAAACATAAGAATGCTACATGTGTGTATCATGATGCCCAGAAGGGCATTTTTTTGGAATGCCAATGTTTGATGGGTCGGAATCAAGGCAAGTCATTTATAGAGGTTCAGGTGCGTCTTAAAGATATGCAAACCACGAGGCAGTCAAGCGTTTTATAGACACTGCGTGTGCTCGGATATAGCCACTGCGGTCTGAGGACACGACGTGAATAATGTCAATCAAATAAGACAAGTTATCATTATCTATCGCGAAACATTATCAGACCACAGAATTTAACACAAAAACTCTTATGATTTTCCAGCCCCACAGGTTTCAAGTGATGTCAAAAGAACCAATTGCCAAAACTTTACCGAAACATAGTGAAACTAAAAAACACTTTTTTTTTTTTATCAAAAATTAGTATTGCACAAGCCTGTTTTTTGGATGCAATGCTTGAAGCCACTTCACTTCGCGACTTCTGCGGAGCATTGGGTTCGATGAAGCTCTTTGGCAGCGAGTCGCAGTTCACTCAATCCTTAGAGTTCTTGCTGACGTGGGACGCTGCTGCTCGGACACAGGTTTTTGCACTCCGGTTGCCACAGGAACGAACCTGGCAGTCCTTGGACAAGCACCTTCGACACGGCCACACACTCGACAGTTTTGTTGCGCCTCGTCGGCAGCGCAGGTCAAAGGAGCGAAGCAAATCCAAAGACCGAGCGGTGCAAGTTGCATTGGCTGTGCGGGCGTCAGATTCACCGCAACCGGGCAACCGTACGGTGGACATGCCTATGATCGAAGCTGTGGGCGCAGGTTCCAATGCATGCCAGGCAGTGGCTGTTTTGCAGACATATGTGACTTTCCAGTTTTGCTGGACAGGAACGTGCCAAAGTTACGATCACCGATTGATATGTGCAGGGATGAGCCAAAGCGGCTCATGGAGAGCCCTTCTTTGATGGCTGGCCTAAAGTGATAGAAAATGGATTTGAGCACAGGGATAATCTCACAAATTTTCTTCAGGGTGTGACCATTTGATGCGTGGCAAATAAACTATTGCCGGTCACTAAAGCAGGACAAGCCAGACATGATCACATCGTTTTGGGTGACAGACTGGGATCACAGTGGATCCGCCGATCCTCTCGCTGTGGGGGGAGTCCTTAAAGCCGCGTTTTGTGATCCAGCGCAACCGTTGGAGGGCTACGTGGCCGGATTCAACGGTTTTCCTCTTGGCATGGTTTTACCTGTTAGAGTCAAGATGTTTGTGCCAGGGCTTTCATTCTGCAATCACTGGTAGGCATTCTATGGAAAATGCCTAGCGTATCAGTTTATAGAGATTATATCCCTAGCCTTGCCCCCTTATTGTATAGACACCAATTCTCTAGAAAATGTGTGGATAACCCCCAACATCACCCAACCCAAAATTCACGGGGGATGATTGCCCTTGAGCCGTTGTCAAGGGTTTGTATAGTTTTCCCACTGAGATCCAACAGGTAGACAAAGGTTACAGCAACTGTTGTTTTGCAGGGAAACTGAAGGAGTCAGTCGTTGCGGCCTCACCTATTATCCACCGCCATGGGGAGTCCTTCTTTCTCACGATTTGTCAGTGTGAAAAGGACTAGTTATGTGCTGCTTTATGGTTGGCTCCCTTCTCTAGGTGGAGCTTGCGGCTGAATCAAATGGCCAGCTGCAATGACAATGTGATCAACTAGCTGCCTTCAGCTTGCCCTCCCGCTTGAATCAATCTTATGGAGAATGCTTATGATTGCTTATGACATTGAATTACCTATAGAACATTCTTCACAACTCCAAAACGGATATCTCCAAAACAGGTCATACATCTATATACTGTTTTTCTGTTTACAACCCTGGTGATCCTTCAGGCCCACACCTCCCAGCGGCGAAACACACGATCGAGACGGACCGATCTCCGGCCTCCGTTGGCCACCGCCGGCCGGACGTGGGCGAAGCGAGACGCCAAACGCGTCCGGCGTGGCGAACCAAGACTTCATGTGTTTGCCTCTCACTGTTATCGCCCGACTTTCATGTTGGAACCCCAAAAAAAGTCCCAAAAAACAGGGCCAACAAAAACCAACATGTTTTCAGACTTCATGGACAGTTTGTGAGGCACGCCTTTGGCTTCACCCAGTCGCATGACATTGACCTCATGTGACTTGGCGGATGGAACCCAAACTGGATCCGATGAATGGTCCGGCAACTGGTGAGGTCAAGGCCTCCAGGCCTCGGGTTGGAGTTCTGCGTTCTTTTTCGTGGATAGAGATGCTCCAACAGGTGTCATCAACCAGTTGGATCACTTGGTCACAGAAGAGTGTCTTTACTTTGTCTAGCGATTGGTGGGAACGAACAAGCTTGCACTCTCCCAAGTAGGCATGGGCCAACGGATGTCGTATCAAATGGAAGCAATATACAGAAAACCATGGGTTCCTAGGCGCCTGACCGAACATCGAACTGTTTGAAGGTTTCTGACCGAACCTCCACCGAACCAGTTGGTTGGTTTTTCTTTCGCTTGCAGGTTTCTAACACCACACACTCGTTACAACTGGCACACTGTTGACCAGTTCGCGGATGGAGGGAAGAAGGACAACATATGCACCAGCAAAGAACGCTCTCTTGAGTCTCTTGACATTGTCTACATTGTTTGTATGTAAATCAGCAGCCAGGCGGATTCAAAGCTGCATGCCGCAAGAGCCCTCCTTGTGCACTCATCTAACCCAACACCTGTTCGCGGGATTTCATTCGAACCTGACGACAAGCTCTGGGATATTCCAGTTTGTTGTATCATAGCCAGTTCTTTTTCCTGCAATGCGCCTTCTAGGAGGAGGATTCGCTGATTTGACGGGCGGTTCAACCATTAATATGGGTTTAAAAGAAACACAATTTGGATCAGATCAGCTTTGGCGGGAATCATCCATCAAGGAGGAAGTATTGCACTTATTTCTTGGGAGGCTGTTATGTCTATTCTTGACAAAAGGCCATTCTCTGCCGCACGCAAACGTGCGCAAACGTCTGAAGTAGTCTGAAGTAGATGCAAAAACACAACAAAACGACTCTAAACCTTGGACACCTCAATGGCCCGATGAGTTGCGAGCCTCAATGGCCCGATGCGAGCCTCCCCAGCCAAGCATCAGAGATGGCCTGATGGCCTGATAGGGAAGCACCGGACCATCTCAAGGAGAACAAGGCCGTTCAAGGGCCTATTTAGGGCCATGCTACCCTCAGGCGAAGAACAGAAAGATGGTAAAATCAGGTAGAGCACATCAGAACTTCAGATCCCCTGGATGGATGCACATGGTGTATGACCATGTAGAACCATGTGCTACTTCAGGGAAGTTCATCAGATCCCTTTTTACCAGAACTCTTCAAAGGTGCTTCTTCGACCCTCAGTGCGTGGATAAACCCTGGTCACCCTGGTCTCAGCCTCCATCCAAACACCCTCCCACTTGCAACGTATACATCGGTGTATGGCATATGCACAGATGTTGGACCCCATACATCAACCCCCACAACGGATCGGTGCATGTTTCTCCCCAAAGACTTCCAACCAAAACAAACGCCAGCAACTCGACCTCCGGTCGGTGAGTGTGACCTGCACGGCGAACAGCTGCTCCTCCGCCCATGGTCCATGGATCTCGCATCACCTGAGGAGTGCCTTACCTTCCAAAAGCCTCTTGGTGATGAGAGTGGAGTGATGAACCTTCATGATGGAGTGGGCTACCGGCCGGGCTAGAGACCAGCCCGAAAGAACTGTCCAGGGGAATTGCTAGCTAAACCGTGTGAAAACCATCCCCATGACCTGCAGAAGCCCACACTGCGTTGCTACTTGTGATGATGGGTGACTTGTCACTGGTGACGTCTCAAACTGTGCCGGTCTGAACCGGATTATGATCTTCACCCTCTCATCCTGAAGACCCATGATCTTCAACACTCACTTCAATGCACTTCGAACAGGTGACGGGTCAAAGTCTGTCCACTGGCTTGTGGGACGTGTCGTTGATCGTTTAGCCTTTACTTGTCGTTGATCGTTTAACCAAGAGCTGCGCCTTTCCAGAGAACCGAAGCCCCGTCCTCAGTCTTTGAAGCAACGAACCAGCGAAATAGAGGCGGTTCTCTGGAAGCCCTTGTTACACATGTCAAAGAGAGAGAGAGAGAGAGTCTCCGTTGAGTCTCCGTGTTTTTTGGTTTTGCTCTTGATCCAAGAGCCTCAAACTGGCCCTCCAAAACTCCAAAATTTCCACACCGTTGCACTGCAAACGGGTGTGTGCACGTGTTCCCCTCAAAAACAACACACTTGAGAAGTCATTGGATGCCCAGCTCCTGCGTTTGTTAGTACTAGCTTGTCTTCTTATCATGAAGGAAGATGAACCAACCACACCGGTTTTTCATGAAGTTGAACCTGCCCCTTTTGTGCCGAAAGGTTGATCCATTTGTGATGTTGCCAATCCCACTCTGATGACTTGGTGTCCTGAGGTTCCGGAAAGCCTGGAAGCTACTACTACTTGGGCTCAGCGCAAGACATTGGTGCAGCGGCTCGACACATCTCAGCGGAACTGGACGGCAAAACGACGGCCGCCCTCATTCGTCGTTCAACCAGTCGACCTCTCCAGTTGAAACCGGCATGTCGAATTGGTTTTCAATGAAAGAAGGCCAATTCGAAGCTTTGCTTTTCAGATGGCACTTGTATTTCCAAGAGTTGTATGTAGCTTATAGCTTCTGGGAAGGAAGGACTTGACCATGTGAATTACCATCCAAGTCGTATGCCATTGATCTCTTAAAGAAAGACATTGCCACATCCCAGTGGTATTGCCCTTTGATCTGCCAAGTGAGACATTCTTCGGCACCAAGGCTGTCGGCCTCCAATCTTCCGAACGCCCAAGCGGTTTCAGCCCAGTCCAAAAGTCCAAAGATGTCAACAGACTCATCTTTCTGTTGGATATTGGATATGCCATGATCATGTTCAGGTTTTAACTGGGCCACCAAGATTCTTCCCAGGTTGCTTTCCTCCACCCAATTCTGTCACATCAGAACTTGTCTAAACCCAAACTACCATTTTCATCCATCTTCATCCAGTCTAAGTAGAGGTGTCCGGGAAAGCTGAAGCAGCTGAGACCGATTCATTCTCATTTGGCCATGGGGTCATGGCACCAGCAATGGCACCGTGCGCCGAAGCACCGACCGCCGTCGATCGTCCGCGGGCGAACATGGTGGAACATCCCGAATCATGCCAGATTCCAGGTATGAACATGTAATTATAGCTACATGGAATCTACATGGACTTCTCTTCATCATCCCGGATGTAGACACATTGTACATCCAACATGGACTTCTCTTCATCCTCATCCTCCCCATTTCTGTGTGCATCCTCGGTACCTGCTCCCTGCTCACCGGTTTCTCCAAAAAACGCCGCGAGCTGTCAGGCCGTCGGCGATGCTTTGGGTGCCGTGAGCTGGCAGCCTTGCCGCACGGCCACAACGAGTGAGGTCAGAAGGAGAGAATGGTGAATGTGAACAACCCTAAAAGCCAAAACCCTAAACCAGAATGCCGCCAGGTTTTGTGGGTTTCCCTCCAGTTTTTGGTTCTTAACTTTATGTTCATGTCTTTTCCTTCCTTTTTAGTCTGTCTTTCCTTCCTTTCGTCCTTTATTGTTTTCTTTTTCTTTCTTTTGTGCTCAGAATGAGCGGTGTGCAGCTGGACTTTTGCATGCAGGCATCCAGAGGCCAAGGGCTTGTATGAGTTGGGCCTTTTCTCAAGCCCATGGCCACGTCGACCTTCTTGATTGAAACAAAATTTGTATCTCTTTCTACACATCCTGTCCTCAATTCCAGCTGGCTGGAGCTTGCATGTTCATGTTGTTTCTAAGCAGCACGGATGCGAAGGCAATGGCAATGCATGGATGTATTTCTCTGGACCAGCTAAATTTTGGTGAGAGAAGATTTTTATCTTCATCTTGGAGCCATATGGTCCCAATCCATAACTATTTCTGGCATTACTACTAGTAACAAGAAGCTACTAGGTGGAGGCCATCGCTATTAGGTTGGAGGCCATCGCTTACGAACAGAGCAAGAAGCTACGAACGTAGCGATGCATCTTCTGCCCTACTTGTCATGCTGCAATCGATGGTTCGAACGATCCTTTGAGGCCGCAATCTACAGCTGCGCGTGGAGGGACCTACAGGCCGAGCCCGCAGGATCTATCTAAGACCATGGTTTATTTGGACAAGTTGTATTATCAACAGGCCAAGCATTTTTTAAAGTTGTTTCTTGGAGTAGAGGGAAAGAAGGACAGATAGTAACACAAGAGGTGGGTTTTCCCACCACCCTCAAGGTGCATAGAGAAAGGTTGCAAGATCTCAGCTTCAATCCTCGAGAATCCTTTGCGCTGTGGCGCTGTGGAATGTGTGGTGTCTTGACCCTTGAACCAGAGTGTTTCTTGACCAAAAATTCTGCAGCTGCCGGTCGGGAAACCTCCCGTTTGCAGCCTCACATGTGCATCTGACCTTGGAGAAGGGTCCTCCCGTCTGACTGGTGCGACGAAAGCAGGGTGGCTGAGGGTGGCTGGATCCAGTAGAATCTCTATTGCGGGCGAAACTTCCCTTAGTCCATACTAAGCACCTGTCAGTTGACCTTGGAGAAGGTTTGTCTGGAGATATTGGTTTCTTCATGCTTCTTCTATTCCACTTGCTGGAGGTTCCCACGCGGGAGATCGAAGCCTTCCCAATGGTGTTGTAAGTTCAGACGTTGCCTTCTATCGGCAGGTGGCGGTTGGTATGTGGCTTGGCAGCATCGAACGTGGTTGGCGTCTGGCGCAGATGAGAGCGCTCTCAGTGGCCCTTCAAGAGCTTTCCGCCTCCAAGTAGGAACAGCTCTGTACATTGATTGTGATACCAGAGTTTGCATGTCCGAGAGCAGCATGACTGGGGTAGCGGAGATATTTATTGGGTGAGAACATGCACTCGTGAAGTTTATGGGGCAGCACTGATTTTCGAAGAGTGCCAAATAGGATGTGGGTCAATGCTTTAGAAACTTTAAACTTCCAAAGCATGCTCAGGATGTCATCTAAGATCATTAGTGCGGTAAGTACCTATATATATATATAGGGAACTGTTTTGCTGGCTTTGTTTTGCTGCGTGGACCTGGTTTGACTTCGCGATGGTCGACGATGGCGTGACCTTGGGGAAGACCATTGGCCTCCACGGAGTGTACATAATCCGGTCCCCCTAATAATAAACACGGCCCCCCCCCCCCTATTAAAAAAAACATCGGTCGCATTTTTTCTAATAGGGGGTCCCTGAAATCGGGGGGTCCAAAATAGGGTCACCTGGGAAGAGCTTCAATACCAAAAAGTAAATCCGTAGAGTTTTATATAAAATCCTTTACTAAACTCGTATCAAAAATGCAAAAAAGCTCCAGATCGAAGGGTCTTCCTTTTCCCCTACAAAAACCTTCATTAGAATAGTTATTCTTCAGTAGACTAACAGCTAGACGAAATGTGATGTCGCTGTGCCATGCGGTGTTGCATGACCTCGGTGGCAAGTGCGTTTGCGTGAGTCCGTGCCATTGGGGGAAGGAAAGCCTGCTGGTGTAAGCGCGGCGTGTCATGGTGGATAGACAGGGCGGACAGAGGTGGGCAGTTACGGTTGTTTTTGGAACCTAATAAAAAAACTACCACCAAAATCGACCATGTTGGTAGTTTAGTAGCGGCTTGAAAGGGCGGCAATTTAAAACCAAATATAAACCGAATTTAGGGGTTCGGACGTGGTGTTTTTTAATTGGGGAGTGTTTATTAATAGGCACTCGGGATTACATTTACCCCATGAAAATGACCCACTTAAGTGAGGGGTTTTCTATGGCTTTCTGACCTTTTATCTGAACCTGGCTCCGATATCTTGTGGCTCGCAGCTCCTGAAGTCATCCTATTCATGGCGACCACTAGGGCCTTGCTCTGCTAGTTGCAGTGACTCATTGTATATAATGTGTTTGGATGATGCACTGCGGTTAAAATGAGGCGAACTGATCTCTAAGGACTGGTTTTGTTTTAGATTGGTTTTGGTGACTGCTATGAGGTACTCATCAAGCCCTCAAGTCTGTTCGTTGGGAGGGTCGATTTCACGAGTGAGATGAACGGGATTTCACGAGCGGAAGCCAACCCCAAAGTCTATAATATATGAGGTGTATAGTGAGGTGAATAAGGTACCGCTACACCATATATAAAAAAATATTAAGTTTTGGGCTGCTGGTTTTATTTTTAGGCCTTGAGGCCAGTGCTGGCTTTAGGCCTTGAGGCCAGTCACCAGCGGAGCATTTGGTTTCGGGGCGGTGCAACTACTGTGACACGAATGACACACGTCACTTTCTTTACATTGGGGATGCATTTCTTTCCATCTATTTCCATTTGATGCATCGATATGCATGGTTTCCGTCGTGCTTTTCACCTCCCTCCTTTTGGACCGCCTCTTTCTTCTCGAAGACGCGAACGGCAGGGACCTCCAGATGCGAACGCCGAGGAGGACGCCGGAAGCGCCGATGTCGATGGGAGATCACCTCCCTACAGAGGTCAAGTGACCGTAAATAGGACCCGTCACCTGGGGTACCTATGGGATAGTCGAACTAGAGTTCTTCAACCTCTGTTGGTCACTCTGGCGAAGAAAGTTGGAATCGTGAGGTTCGACAGGTCAGTTTCGCCAGCATCTGTGGGGCGATTCTGGCCTGCTGGGTAAGGCCTCCCACTGGAGCAGGGGCGTTTCTTTTCTTTTTTTCTGAGTCTTTGAATGGACCAGCTTAGTTTCCTCAAGAAATCATAGATGTCTAGTATTCCTTGAGTGCCTGTGGTATTTTCGGTGCATGGCTTTTCATGCGTGGGTCCTGGGCTTCTACGCGAGTCACTTGAAGTCTCTCGAACAAAGCACCTATAGAACACATTCGCACCTTTTTCCATTCATGTGTCCTATAATCCTATAGAGAAAGTCTATTGAACGATAAGCACGTTCTTTCTGAGTCTTTCGTGTCCTCGGATTCCGAGACCAGTTTGGACACCAAGCGTCGTGCCCGTCGCCCGTTGCGTCCTCCGCTCGCATCACATCCGAAGGTGAAGTGCACGCGGATCCGTTTTGGATCCGTTCGGTGCCCTTTACTTGGGGGTTTCTTCCTGACATGAATCTTCAGGTTGAACCCCAGTCAATTTCATGGATCAACCATCTTTTGCCACATCCTGTCACATGTCACCATCTGCGCCGCCCCCTTCGAGGGTATATACCTCTTAAGAACGAGCAATGTGGTGCTACTTCCACGACCCGCCGCGCCCCACCTGCGACACCTGCTGCGACACCTGCCCTCGGCAGGATGCGCCGCTCCTGGGGCTTCAGGAGTCGCGCAGCCTGGTGGCTTTAGGCGCCAAGGAGCGGCAGATCCTGCTCTACGTCGTTGGACCCAGAAGGGACGGCACGGACAGTCCCAGGAGAAGTTTCTTCCCGAAGTCCCGAGGAGTCCGACGATTGGGTCCAACCATGTCACTTGACCAGGGTCAGTGGTCGTCATGGTCTGGTGACGTCCATCCTGTTCTCAATGCCCCTCTCAACAGCAGAAAGGAGCGTGGAGAGGTGTTGGGCCAGGATGGAGAAGTCGTCCGGACCTGGCACTGGCTCCAGTTCCGCTGGCTCCAGTTTCTTTGTTTCCAACAAGTGCATGGGCGACTGAGAACATGAGGTGTGTGCACTCCAACATGTGTCCGTCCACAGGGTTTTTTCTGCACTCCCACAGAAAGGAAGCTGCCACAGGCCATGATGTGCCTTCTTTGTGATGCTGTGTTTCTGTCTCAGGAAGAAGTTACAAGAACCAATGACACAAAGACCCAGTCCAACCACGGTAAATGCCTTTGATTTATGGACAAATACCGACCGGGATGACTGAAGAGTCTGCTCTGAGATCAGGAATCTGGAATTACATTTCAACCGCTTCTGCGCAAAGCTGAGGCCATGCCGGAGAACACCTCGCTACCGCCAGCAGTCACCTTGCGATTGACCTGGAGCACTGAGCAGGTGGAACTAGTGTGCAGTGTGGATCTAGAATGTAGTTGGGTTGGAGTGGAGAGATGCTGCAAAGACTTCACACTTTCCGGCAAACATAGATGACAATAGACTACTTCTTTGGGGGGATGAGTAGTTGTTCCAGGGCCAGCTAGATGAGACATCTTGATTAGGGGGTTGCTTCTGTGGGAAATACCAATGAGTTTTTTCTCCCGGCGGATACCCTCCGTGCCGCACCATATGTTTATTGTTTCTTTTCCCAGTAAAGCTGTTGGTTCCCAAAAAACGTGCACATCCCAAAACAGGCTGCCATGGCATAAAAGGATGAAAGGAGAAGGACATGGAATGAAGATCCCATGTTTCTTTGGACACATCGCCTTCCTGCAAGGTGACTCATTCGTTTCAGAACATACCGAACAACACTCCCAACAGACGGAACTAGTAGACAAGTTGCAACCCATCCTTTCCGATGGGTTTTTGATCTGTTTCGTGGCGTGCCGTTTATTTCATGGTCTTCACACTTCCCATGGTCTGCAGATCGACTTCGTCAAGAAACAGGGGTGGACTCCAGGTGTCCTGAGCCAACGCAGAAAACCCATCCTCCCCAGGGATTGTAGAAGACCAATGAAGACCATAGATGATTTGAATATGAGCCGTCATCCTGCCGATGAACTGCCCGGCGAGACTCCCCACCTCTCGAAACATCCAAAAACAACCCAGGGAATGGCCACAATTGAATAACTTTCAACCTCCATATGAAGAGGTGTTCAATCCAAGTGGGAGCATTTGTTGAATCAAGATTCTACATTGCCTGTTTAGCACCATCGACAGACCAGCCACATGCTCCGAACACCAATGCTGCACGGGGATGTGTGCAACGCGGGCGCACAGGAGGGTGAGCAGAGCTATGAGGCTCAGCTTTTGCTGGAGAAGCTGGATACGTGGCTTGGGAATGACTGGTGCAAAGTGGATAGTGAGCATGGTGTAGTTGTCCAACGCTTATTACTTTAAGGAAAATGTTCAGGAAGAAGACATGTTTTTCCCCCGGATAGCCTCAGCTATTGGGGTTCTTACTTCATGGGGTTCTTACTTCAAGAATAGGAAGAGCTGCATGTGCGCGTTTTCGAGACTGGGTGCTGGTGCCGCTGCAGGGTGCGCTGTGGTTCCCGTGTAGGAAGAGCTGTGTGTGCGCGTGCTCGAGCTTGGGTGCTGATGCCGCTGCAGTGCTGCTACTGTGTGCGCTTCGGAACTTGGGGCTGGTGCCGTTGCAGGGTGCCGCTGCTGTGGGCGCTTAGGTGCTGGCGCTTGGGTGCTGGTGCCGCTGCAGGGTGCCGCTGTGTGCACTTTGGATTTGGGGTATATGGCCATGTGCACTTTTGGAGCTTGGGTGCTGGTGCCCTTGCAGTGTACCACTGCCAGATGTGTGGCCGTTTGCGTATCTTTGGAGCTTGAGTGCCGCTGCAGAGTACCGCGGCAGTGTGCTGTCCACAAAAGTCTTCTTGTTATCTGGGGCCTATGCTGGTGCAACTTTGCTAGTTGTTCTTTCCACGAGAACCGTGCTAGGTACCTGCTTGCCAGAAAAACATACCTCCGCAGCCTCCGCACACTAATAGTACTGTAACTTATAGGCATGGCACCTGAAACCGCATTCTTTTGCAGGAACCGTGTTGTCATATTCGGGCACGCCGGCGCGCCTGCGTTTTTCCAATGTTTTTTCCAATGCTTGTCGCATGCTATGTTAAAGTCCATGAGTGTTGCGGCGCGTTGGGTAGTAGTAGTAGTAGTAGTAGTAGTAGTAGCAGTAGGAGTAGCAGTAGCAGTAGCAGCAGGAGGAGGAGTAGCAGTAGTAGCAGCAGCAGTAGTAGTACTTGTAGCGCGAGTAGTGGGAGTAGGTAGTATGTAGCAGGTAGGAGGGTCAAGAGGTAGTAGTAGGTGGTAGCAAGTAGTATACAGTAGGTAGTAGTAGGGAGTGGTGGGTAGTGATCTCTACAGTCTCTACAGGTCAAAAGGTGAGATCGAGGGCTGATGTCACGGTTGCTGATGGCCCTTATGGCGATTTGACTTTTGACGCATCTGGTTCACGATACTCTCGATCAGAAGTCAAGGCAGTCATCGCTGCCATTCGACAGGATATACCAGAGATCCTGAAGACAGACCATCGAAGTCGCAAATCCAGCAGCTAGCTTGATCATGGTGATCCTGGTGATCACTTACTACGAGGCGCAGCGCGCGAGGTTGACAGATGCTGTGGAGAAGTTGCTTCTAGAACCAGAAATCGCAACACAACTCTCAGGCGTACCAACCATTCCCGGCCGCGGAATATCCTCACGCATCTGCGTCAGAAGCGTCAAGACCGCCATTGGTGATGAAGCTGTGGGTGTGTATTTATCACTCGCAGCTGAAAAAGATCAGAACCCATTTTCTGCTGGATTTGATGAGGATGTTGCGGCTGGTAGACGGTTGGACGCAGGTAGTAGGTAGTAGTGGGCGTAGTAGGTCCAGGTATGTCCAGGTGTTTCTATCATTAGTAGTCAGCGGTGCTCGTAGTAGTAATTAGTTGTTGTCATGGTGGTGGTGGTGGTAGTATCATGGTGATCGTCTTAGTCATCGTTGTCGTCGTGGTTGCCAAGAGTGCGTGTTCCCCAGTGTCCGCAGGGTCCGGTGAGTGCCTGACCGCTCAAAGGGGAAGCACCGCAGTTGTTCATGCGGTGTACTTCTGAGCGCCTTGCTTGGACTGCCGCTGTGGCTTCCAAGTTGGAGTTGGAGGGGGAAACTTTGCTGACGTTATCCCTTTGCGTGCATTCATGGCTTCAAACCTGATCACTTGCTTGTTGTGAACATTCAATATCCCAGGCTCAGATCGGGTCCAGATTATTTCACCGTGGACCCAACACCTTGGCGGCGGTATCTAGAGATTCTCCGATGCCCGATGTTGAGTTGCCCTGAGCAACATGGCGACTCTACCAGCCATTCCTGATGAAGGCATCGATACCCATTTTTGGGCATGGGCATATGAAAACAGACCGGGCCACCTTCTCGCGGGGCTTGCAGACCAAGGTTTGAGTGACACTTAACTTGTCAAGAATCGGCTTGCTGAATTGGCACCTGACGTGGCCTATGGGCTGGCGATGCTCAATGTCATGGATCTTTCCAGGATCCCGGATGTTTGGGCAAAATTCGCCCAACTGAACTTTGAGGGTACCCGCACTTGGCTTTTTTCGGCACCCGGTCCGCGCACAATGGCCCTTTTGAGTTTTGTGTCTCCGCTTTGGTTGACAAACTCGGGCCCTGCCCGTGGTGTGGCGACATCGCAACCGCCCACTTCGATCACCTTGTTTGGCTTTGCCCCCAAAGGCCCTGTAGGATAGCTTGTTTGTTTCCCGTCTCAGCTGGAACGATGGCACAACCTCCCCTGCAGTCCTCCTTCAGGTGCGCGACTGGCTGAGCCAGGTCTGTCTTCAGGCGTGCAGATCGCCATGCTTCGACTGAGGTTCCCGATGACTCTGCTGATCCCATTCCTTATCATCCAGGTGAAGTTCGGGAATCCTGACTACGTTAGCAACGGGAGCTGACGGCTGCTGTATCTACCTTGGGGTGCTCGCAGCGGCAAAGTGATGATGATGATGATGATGCTCAATGTCATGACCGGAATTGGGCTTGCACATAGGTACATCCCGAGGGACGGCTGGCCCAACCACTGGACAGGGTACACAGGGCTGGAACGAGGCTGGTGGTCCGTGATTTGGATGTGGCCACCTTGCGTGCACTCATTGGGGGCCCCATAATTCAGCTTTTCCCCACGCTGTTTCGTCGTGAGTCTCCCTCACAGATGCATGGCTTCGAATGAAACAATTAGTAATACTCTACTTCGATTGATCCCCACCATGACATTTCAATCATTTGTCTTCACGCCATGGTGAGGAGCATGTTGCCATGGTCGTGAGTTTTGTGGTTCTTGACTTTGTTTGTGGGTCCTCGGGTTGTGTGCTGTGATTGTGGTTATGTTCTGTGGATGTGCGTGGTGGTTGTCTGCTGTGGTTGTGTGCTGTACATGTGTCTTTGCGGTTGTGTTTGTGATTGTGGTTGTGTTTGTGTTTGCGGCGATGTGTTTGGAATCGTGTGTTTGTGGATGTGTATGTGGTTGTGCTTGTGTTTGTGGATGTGTTTGGGGTAGTGTTTGCGGTTGTTTTTTGTGGTTGTGGTTGTGGTTGTGTGCTTGTGGTTGTGTGCTTGTGGTTGTGTGTTTGTGTTTGTGTTTATGGTTGTGTTTGTGATTGTGGTTGTGTTTGTGATTGTGTTTGTGTTTGTGGTTGTGGGGTTATAATTGTGTGTTTGTGGTTGTGTGTGTTGGCGGGGAACACTGCCCGCCGACGCTCGCAATTGAGGTCCGGCCGGGAACACTGCCTTGCCTTACGGCCCTCGCAGTTGCGGTCCTACCAGATGAGGCTCGCGGTTGAGGACGACGTGGAGGACGAGAAGGACGAGAAGCAGGAGGAGGAGGAGGGCACGAGCTGACATTAAAAAACACAACCCTCACCTGACAGGCGGGGAAAAATGTCACATGCTCTTTCCTCTCACGAGACCAGCTGGACGTCGCCACTTCGACCCCAATTGGGATCTTCAGGTCGACGGCCTGCAGCTCGTGGCACCCCGGGGAGCAATCCAATCTGACTGGTATATTATGGTATGTTGGCCTATGAGTTTGGGTTGGTGCTTTCTGAACACATTGCAATTGAGATGCTTATTTTGCCCTCAGAGGGTTATTCCGCTGTTTGTGCCGCAGCCGGGCATGAGGCAAGTGGATCACTTGTTGTTGGCATTCCCACTCATTGTGGAGGATGGAGTGCGGCAACAGAAACCCACCTTGCACGCGTCTGGGTGGCGTCTCTCCTCACTGCAGATGAGCCACCGACCTTCTCAGTTGGATCTCGAAAACATGGCCTGTCATACTTGTCTGGGTGGCTGGCTCTCACGCCTCCTGAAATTGAGGTCAAGTTGGTAGCTGAAATCAAGAAACAAAGGCCCACTGCGGCCAATCGTGAGTCTGGTGGAGATCAAAAAATTGGTTGCTTCGTTCATGGCAGATCTGGGTCTGTTAGATGAGTTCCAGCGCTACAGACAGAACATTAGTTTCAAGCTGAGCAGTTCATTTTCAGGGATCAATTTAGGTATATGTTGCTACTACTTTCGTATTCGCACCGCATAATTCAGCATACTCCTTCCATAGCTCATAGTCAAACATCACCCGAAAAAACGCATCAAACAACATGCAGATATATATATATATATATATATACGTCGGAGTGTTTGGGAGAAAGGGCGAAGTCCTTGGCCACTAAGTTCACCGCTCGACTCTAAGCGACCCAGGTCTGCATCTTCGGCCTTATCTGCATTGGCGGTGCGGGCGCACATGCTCCGCTTTCAGGCGCCGAGAATGTTCAGGTGGTTTTGGATGTTTTTTGCGGAGAAGGTGATGTTTATTTGTATTCCGGGTTCAAATTCCTGGTATGGTGAGTGTATATTTCTATTTACCCAACTTTACCCGCTTCCTGGACGGCGCCGATCCCAGCTCCGGAGGGCTAAGCTTGCCACCAGATCCGAAAGGTGGGTCGAATGGTCGGCAGATCCGAAAGGTCGGTCGAACATCCATCACCCGTTTCCGAGACTTCCTCACATGTCTAAAGGGCACTCTTCCACTCATGTCCAAGGCATGACTTGGATGTCCAAGTCATGCACACTAGTATACCGTAAACCCAAAGACTCCAACCACCATGACTTTATATTATGGTTCTCACCAAACAATATTTGTCTTACTAAAACATTTATATACACTACACAAACATGTCAACCATCTTTACATGGTCTTGGAAGACTACGGTAAACGCTGGAGATCAGAAATCAGAGATCTAAGTTCGACATCCGGGTCACCGAGTAGGATCCACTCGAGATGAGGGGCTCATGGCTTACACTGGTTTCAGAGCAGATGGCACTGGCACCCCAAGATGTCTTTTAGATTTTCGGGGTCCATACAAATCACCTTGGAGGATATTGCCATCTACTCTGAAACCACCATAGCCGGGCTGCTTGCACCAAGAGTGAGAGATGGTGAGATGTTGGCTTCACCCGACTTGCAGCACATTTGACATAGAGAGCCATCCTTTGCCAGGCTTAGACTATTGGAGGACTACTACGGAAACCCACATGATTCGGCGCTCCTGAGATGCACTTGGGGAAGATACGATCACCACGTATTGCTCCATGCGTGGCATCAGCCTATGCAACATTCTGCAACGGCGCAGGGCAACGGGCCCACGCGCCCACAGCTGCAGTGCTGGGAAGAATCAGATTTGGGTTGCCTTCCAGACAAACGGTACAGGCGTGAATGAAGACCGGCCATGCAGAAGTTCTGCCCTTGGTCACTTGGACGACGATGGCTTGTTGTTGCGTGACTCGTTGCGTTGAAGCCAATGAAACATGCTGCCGAGCTCAACTTGGTTCTTCATGCCTGATATGCTGCTGGTCCTGAGTGCACGCTGACGATATTGGATGCTATTAGTTGCCCATGTGTGGCAAGTGGACCAAGCCTGGACAAATGTTCGATTCAAACTTGTCCAATAGATCACCTCGAAGAAGAGGAGGAATGATGGAGATTGTTGTGTTCGGTCACACCGATGAAGCAGATGCCAATGGCTCAGTGACGATAGTGACGCATGTCTACGTAGGTCAGTGTCCCTGAAGCTCTTGAGTGACAGGGGCAGCGGCTCATGGCATCTCAAGGATGAGGATTCACTTCGTGGCCCAAAGTCAACAGCTCGACAGTGGTCGACATCCCTGAAACATGGGTGTCCCAGTAAACCTGTATGTATAGCCGTCGCTAAGACTAAGAACAATCACTCTTTTAGAGATGGCAAGGCCTGGAACCTGGCCCGATCATCATCCACCGGGCGAAAAATGGGATATACCCAAGACATCCCCTACATGGACCACCCAAATAGATACAAATAGTAGATCCCCACTGAGAATGTATTGGAAGCGTTTCTAAAGGACCACAAAACCAACCACCTCCGATGGCTTTTGGAAGCTTCGCCTCTCGCTGGCTTCAGATCTGCCAGGTGGCGCACGCCTTGACTGCGCTGGCGGTGTCCCCCGCGGCCCACGAGCGCTTTGCGCACGTGCACCAAGCCGTGTTGGATGGCCGGTAGAGCCCAGCTGCCCGGGTGGGTGGTGGTGAAACCCTGAGAGGACTGGGATCGAAACAGAGATGACGAAGTGAAGTCTTAGGAGCAAGATGACCCAGATGACGCAAACAAAAATAGCAGATCACCAAGCAGTTGTGCAAGAAAACAGAGGCCAATGGTGATCTTTGGACGTTCTCAAGTGCTGGGATGTTGAAATCAACCAACAACGGAACCAACAACGGAACCAACAATGGTAAAGTGAGAAGTTGAACTTGAGCACGCCGGAACGAAAAACCGGATCCAGGCCCGCATGTCGTGATTCCCCACTGGCACTTGGTGCTCAAAAGTGGTAGTGTTGTCAGCAGTGAATCACATGCAGAAGTTGTCAGAAGGGATCCATCTCTATGGATTCATGGATTCATCCTCTTTATGATGGTGATGCCGAACACGACGCTTTTATGTAGGTGCCAGGAGGATCCTGTCATACATCGTTTCGAGGATATGTGACTCCCTATATAGGCATGTTTCATTGTTCCCATCGCATATGTGACATTTGTGAGTGGATGGACACTTAGGAGCAGGAAAGGCTGGGCCATGAAAGGGATAACGTCGTGGCATGTCCGTGTTCACTGTTCTTCATGGGTGGGTGTTGCATAGGAGGCCATGTCCCGCATTTTTAGACAGCCCAAAGAGTGAAATGGGAGTGAACAGCCCAAAGGGGCCCAAAGACTCAAAGAGATGCCAATTCAATGACGCGATCTTCAGTGAAACCCCTTTGGGGCTTTCAGACTTGAGTCATTGAGGTCCTCACACTCACTTCATGCCATGGCTTCAAACTTGGGACTATCGCAACACCTGCGGGGACACTAAATGCTTTTATAGGTCCCTGCCTGTCAATGATTGTCCCGTTTTCTCACACACCCGGCATTTTTTCGGGTCACCCAGGGTGGGTCCTTTGGGTCGATCCCTTGTGCTTGGCGCGCACAGCGCCCCCACCGCTCACAGCTCCCAGGTCTCATCTCGCTTCAAGCTCTCGAGGCGTGCCACGATCCACACGATCCACTGCCCGCGTCACCGGTGCTTTTGGGTCGCCCGCGACGTTCCGCGACGCCGGTGCCATGTTTCTTCGGTGCCATATCGATTTCATGTGTATGACTGTATGTTTGGTACCGTACCGGTACCTGGTTTCTTTCTTCCAGCTCTGAATGCCACCTTTAACACATCCTTAAACATTGTTGGCTTGGTGTCCCAAAGAGTTTCCGTCTGACGCCTTCAGTTTCATGTCATACTCTCAGGGGCAGCTGCGGCAGCTACCATTTCATGGACCAAGTTTGTTGACTTGATGTTCTTTCCTTTTTTGCTTGCAGACTTCTTTTTTTAGGGCGTTCCCTAATTACTTGGAACTAACAAGGGAGGGATCCTCCTTTTCAACAACCTAGACACAGAAAAAACGTCCAACCTTCCGACTGCAAAGGCAAGTCCAAAGATGGTTCATGATTTTGGACGTCAGACAACATCCGGACTCGGGGTTTGTATCATTTGTTGGATCCGCTCGGAACTCTCTGGCGGTCTTCACGGCCTCCATCTGGCGGAGAGCCTTTCTTCCGCAAGCGAAGTGACAGATGCAAGTCTAAAAAATCCGGAGCTGTTCACGAACTCAGCAGTTAGTCAACAGGAAATCCTTGTCCTGTGGGTGAGGAACGTAAAATTTCCGCCAATGTTAGCTAGAGTAACCGGCCAGTGAATTCAGGGCCGAATCGTCTCCATTGTTTGGGGGAAGCGTTTGGTGACATGGTTTGATCGGATTTCCATCCAGGCCCTTCAGCTTGGGCGTTCAAGTCCTTCGTCAAAGACCCCCAAGCTGCTCAAGCCATCAGATCTTTCGGCCGACCATTCTTATAGTTATTCAGAGTCGTTTTTTCTGACTTCAAGATGACCAGCACCCTCACTGCCAGGAACTTCCCCTGGCGCCTCCCTGCCCTCGGACCTTTGTCTTTCATCGGGTGTCCGGACCGGGTTCCCGGACCTGTCGGGTGGACACTGACGGGGGTCGCCGGGTCGCCTGGACCCAAGCTGAACAGGATCAAGAGGAAGATCAAGAGGCCATCTTCCTGGAAGGCATGTTGCAGGCACACTGGACCTCGGGATGACCTCGAGATGACCTCGGATGGCCGAAAGGGAAGCTTCCCCTCGCAGAGGATGCGTTTCTTCAACTCTTTTGACTGTACAGTATGATACAGCACATGTGTCACACGAAGGCAAAACGACCTCCGTTTTTTGAAGTTTGGATCCAACTAACGTTCCAACTCTATGGAGACTTTGCCAGGTTGATGGGTTGACTGTTGGCTTTGTGTGCCACCAGAGTAAGACTGGGTTTGTTGTGGTCAGATGGGGGACATAATATCTAAATCCAAATACCACTGATTCACGCGTGTGTTTTCGACATCAACTCATTTTTTTCGACTGATCCACTCTCAGGATTCGATATATGGCTTTTGCTGTCGAAAAAAGGGTGTTCTCGCAGAGGATGTTCTGGAAGGTACTCGCCCATGTCCACGTACAGATCCCCGTTCGCCTTCAAACACAATTAAAAGAATGGCTGACCTGGTGCCATAGTGCAAGAATCCATAAGACTCCAAAAAAACACTGCGGGTTCTTTGGTCTTCAGACCCATGTAAACACTGCTTGGCCACGAATCCGGGATCGCACCCCCCGCATCGATCGCCGCGATCGCATCCCGCCGGTCAGGCCTTGGAACGAGATCTCGGGGAGGCCGAGGGGGATCGCCAAGGAAGGAGCATATACTGTAGGTCGGTTTGGCACGGCGCGACACCGGAAGTGACTTCGTTGATTGAACGTCTGGTTGAAAGTATCTTGGACTCGAAGTATGCTGAAATATGTTGAAACATTAAAGTTGAACTCAAAGTTCTGAAGTTGTTCGAGTTTTCTCAGCTTCTTGACTGACTCTTTCATGTTCATTGCTGCACAGACTGAGTTGCAGCGGATCTTTCACTTGTTTGAGTCGAAAAGCGAGATGAAAACCCAGGCAGGCCAGGCAGGCTCTCTACCAAAGAACTCTGGAACAGGAACAAGTTTCCAATTGAAGCTTGTGATTGCGCACTGTAGAAGATGAGAAGATCGCAGAGCTATGCAAAACCTTGCAATGCAAGTCCACGATGGCATGCTGACCAACCCCACCATTCGTGCCTGTCTCTTTGCCCAACCAATGCTTGTATTGCAGAAGATGGCGAACCGTATCCCTTGCATGTAGGGCCATTCTACTGACGAACACATCCATACATTGAACTCTTCCAAGCTGCTTGTTGGCGCAGAGCCGGGGGAGCCCAAACCAAACCCTAAGGGTCCAGGACCATCCTTTTCGGATGGTCTTGGAGGTGAGTACGTAATTCTGATAATGATTAATGGTCGAACTGGGGCCAAAGGACATCCGATTCGCATGGTCCTGGACCCTTAGGCAAAATAAACCCACCACGGCGACCAGCAGTGCCAAACCCAACATGTGGCTTTCGATCGATGTCGATCGGTTCAGGCACTGGCGAGCCAAGATCGGAGCTCCGAGCGCAAAGGAGCATCGAAAACTGAACATGACATGTCCCACTCTTGTGTCGGATGTTTGCCATAAGTGTCCCACATGGCCACATCATGGGACATGTTCAAATGATTTCAAATGTGTTGGATGTCTTGTTTTCCCTGTTTTATGACCATGATTTGTCGCACTCATGTGGTCCTGTGAATGTTCAAATTGGATGTTAGAGTTTGCCATAACCTTCCAACAGGAAGGGATTTGTCTCTATAACCTCCTCCTCTCTATTTGTATCCGCCACTTCAGGTAGTTGGAGTTTTATACAATTTTTGGGCCGTGGAGGAGGAAAACAAGGGAAAACCGTCAGGAGTCCTCCTGTCCTTTGCCGCCGAGCACTTCGGGATGCACTCCGCCTCCTCGTTGACTCGCCTGCGCACGACCTATGCATCGCCGGGGCAGCCGAGTTAACAGACGGTTGGAGAGACAGGATATCGTGTAAGAAATGTCAACAACAGATTCTTTGGTGTACAGGACCTGTTTTTGCTGTTGTTTTTCTTCATCCAATGTGGAGAATGAGCCCATATGAGGCCTAAAAGCTGCATAGTTCGGAAATCTGGAAAAGCTACACTCATCTACACTCCCTGAAGGAATCACGGTTATGTGGAGAACGCATGGGCCTGAGTTCGGATGACCCATGAAAAAACAATGGTGCATGGGATTCACTCCACTGATGATGAAATAGAAGCGTGCAGCTTTCCCAGATCTCCGGACCTATGACTATGCAACTTTTTGATGAATCATGAGGGCCTATAACAGTGACACCACACTGGGAAAGCATAGTCATAGTGGCCTATAACAGGGAACATCATGAATCAACCTATAACTATGTGTCCTATATCCACATTGGATGAACGAAACCTATAACAGTGACACCACACTGCATCTCGCAAGACACTAGCCGACGATAATGACTGACACTCTCGGCCAAGGCAACAGCAAATTCAAACACGGCTTCGGTTTTTGCAAAGCACCAAGCCTGGAGCTGTCGATGCGAAGGCAGGTTTGGACTCTTCGGTGGATTTAGGGCGAGGCCGGACGAGGGGGTTTTGGCTTTTTGTTGGTCCTGTATTTTTGGTACGGTGCAGACCGAAGGAGTCCATCATGTAGATTGCAATCCACATGTTTTCATCACAAAGTTAGGGCAGAGTTTCCTGAAAACAATGGTTCTTGAATACCCCTTGATATTTCCACTACAAAATCGATGATGATACCATCTTGTAACCACTGGTTGCTTCTATATTTGAGTGTTTGTGTTCCTGAACAGTTGGATGTATTTGGGTCTTGGAGACCATTGTGACTAATCTCAAAAGCTATTATATAGGCAGGAGGAGATAGGGAGGTGTGTAAGCCCTACAATACAAACATATATATATATATGACACCTCAGGGCTGAGGAGGCCTTTTTGAGGGAGGGCTTCGATGATGTTTCTGCGCTCTTGAAGAAGGCGCAAAGAGAGGGCAACACCCTCGCGAAAGAGTTGAGGGAGGAGACCAGGACTCCACTAAGCGTATTCAAAGGGTGTTGGTTCGCCTGACAGGCCGCAGGCCCCAAAAGTACGCTTCTCCTCACACATTCCAGATCCTAGAATCTTGATAAAATCGTGTACGGTGTATAAGTTGGCATGTGTCCGGCGTTCCTTTCTCACAAAAGGAACGTCTGAGGCATATCATCCTGGAGTGGCAAAGGGTCCAAATGGAATACATTGTGTCTTTAGACGCAAGCAGCTCCACGTGGCCTGATTCGAAACAAAAAAATCAATAATCAATATAGGGCTCATGCACCTCCCTGGATATGTGTTGTAAGGTTTTTGGAATAGGCAACTGAAATCTCCTCCTGATAAAATAGTGTATGGTATATTATATCATATAGCTCGCCCGATCGCCTGCCTTGAATATCCTTCAATTATATATGCGTGTGTGATTTTGCGCCCGCCGGATGAGAGTCACTTCTGGCTCCTGGTTTTCTGGGCTACCACTAGCCGCTAGCCCGTGACAAGGAGCAAACATAGACAGGACAGAACAGGACGAGACAAGGAGGGGCTAGAGAACACACAGGCCAGGTCAAGGTCAATGGACTACTTCTACTTCTTCGGCACAATCGTTTTTTTTTTGTCTCGTCTCAGTCTCAGTGGCCATGGCCGCAGCAAAGCGCTCGATGGATGACAAGCCATCCCTCCCAGGGCTCTTGTCCATACTGGAATTGGCGGCAGAAGCATGTGCAGAGCGCAAGCGGAAGGCTTTGAAAGTATCAGAGTCTGAGGCCGGTAGTAGGTAGTGTTGAGAGAAACACGCGCAGCCTCACACTCTCTCAGTTGAGTTGGTTGGGGTTACACGAGTTGTTTTTTACCGGTTGCCGGTGTGTGACTCTGTGTGTGGGGGTGTGTATGGTCTTGACCGGTGTGACACTGTGTTTCCGAAGTTCTTATCTCAACCTTGTCAGGCCGAGCAGATGGCGGGAAATCAACCACAAGAATCGCAGGACAGTCTTTATGGAGCCGGAGCCGTGGAGTTGGGGAGGGAGAACCAACAAGACTTGCAGAAACCACTGAGTAACCACTGACCACTGCCATAACTTTCAGCTAGCTAGCTAGCAGTTCCCACTTTTTTGGACCGTGAGGACTCTTCCCCTTGGCAACGGATTCCCACCAGTTCGGACTCTGAAGATTCTGGCGACTCTGGTGCGACGGAAGAGTCCGGTTCTGTCTTGACATCCAGAATCTCAGAAGAACAGGATGGTGACGCAGAGGCAGAGGAATTAGAGCCTCTGGAACCTTTGGATTTTGACCAAGTTACTTTGATGGACCCTGCCCGTGTATACTTCCGTGGATCTCACATCAATGCACGCCTGTTCTCTCCACCGAATCAGCGAGCCAAGTTTCTCAGCTAGGCAGTGTTCAACCAGATGCTGTTAATCTGTTTTGTAAAATTGAAATGTATTCTAGTTTGAGTTTGAATGAAGGAGCCGATTACAGCCTGTGGGGCTGGCTGAACTGAGGTACATCATCGCTTCAGCTTGCTCAGGGGCAGGCTCTGCCAATTATTGTATGCAGCTTGGCTTGGCTTGTTCAGTTTCGTATTGAGTTGCTTTTGACAAACGGCGATGCCGAAGGCTTGCTGATTGAAAGTTTGCGCGTTTTCAGTCTGAGAGTCTGAGTCTTTATGCACGCAACTCCGTGCAAACCCTGTAGCCCTGTACCATATCTTTATATAAAGAACATGTAACATATACACGGTACACCGCCTGAATTTCATGATTCATGATACTATGGCCCCTATGGTTCCATAGTTATTTTGTGCAACACCATCGGCGTTTTCTGGCGGGACCCCAGGCCCGATACCTAACTTAGCTAACTGCATTGCTGAGCCCATGGCGGCCTGAGGCAGGACCTATGTTTCTGGACGGAGACCGAGTTTGAGGAGATCATTGCATCGGAAAAGCGTCGCTTAGTCCCCTTCCTCAAGAGGAACTACGACTGTGTCCTGGACTCGTCCTAGATGGGATGGAGATCGGCAGGATGTATCAAACCTTAGGTTTAGAATTTAGACAGACTCAATCAGCAAACAATCCACAAACCTCAGGCCGCGCGTCAGACTCATGAGTCGCGCTGTGAGCCTATATGGGTCTATGATCCATGAGTCTGGGGTTTGGGGGCCTGGGGGCCTGGGAGAAACACTTCTTAATTTCGTTTTTGGTTGTTCAAGTTTGGAAGGGAAAGGAAATCTGAAGAAACACTCCGAACACCAGGGCAAAAAAACAGCATTTTTCCACACACCCAGGCGAACATTTGTTCTATGAATGCGGCGATGGACACAGTGGTGGGGTTTGCGCGATTCATGATGACGGTTTTTGCGCACCCAGACGCTTTGCTGTTAACGATGACGGGGAGCGAGATGCGGAAGTGCCTTGGATCAACTTGGATCAACAAATGACTTCGAGGCAAACTCTGATATCTCGTGAGGGATGGTGAGGGCTGGGCTGGACCTGGAGCTGTGGGGTCATTCAGTTGCTGCTATTGATAGCCAAGGACATATTTGTTGCGGGGCCGCCCTGCACTCCTTTCTCCATCCTGAGCTCGCATCGCCGCAAGCCAGAGTACGACCCGTTCAAGAACGACATGAATTCTCAGCCGGTCGTCGAAAGCTGCAAGCACATCAAATACAGATCACCCAGAACTTTCATATTGGAGGAGGCGCAGTATTCTGGGGTTGTTGGGGGTGTAGGTTGAAGCGGTCACACGATGCACGCTTTTGGCTCTTGGTCTTGGTCCAGGTGATTCTTAGATGCTCCTAGTTTTACTTAGACCGTGGAAGAAGCAATTAATGGTGCTGACAAAATTATAAATCGTAAAAACTCCGAGGCTCGAGGTCAAAGGTTTGGAGTTTGGAAGGTCAAGGATATGGCTGATATGGTCCTGTGGACATTCTGTGACCCTGAGGTGAAGACCTTCAACCAACCATGGCCCAAGCAGTGCCAGGGAGAGTTCTTCACCGAATACAAGGCGTGTAAATGGGTTCAGGAGTCCGGGATAATTCAGAATTCAAGATGCGATGCCAGTGCGTGCCACTCGGCCACCGCAGTCACCACAGTACCAAATCTAAGTTTTTGCAGGAGTGCCAGCCGTGATTGACATATAATTTAATGTCATGTTATTAACACAAGGACCGTCAAGGACCCCAGGAACTTCTCACATTGTTTAAGCAATACAATTCAATTCACACCGCATTGAAAATGGTAAGTCACTACTGAGTGCACTTGTTTGGTCGGTTCAGGCAGCCGGTTCTGAAACTAGTTGATCCAAGCTGCCATGTGGTCTATCGCAGCAGTGGGTGTGAGCAAAGAGCTCGTTGGAGGATGCCACTTTCAGACCTCTGGGCCTCAGAATCTGCTGAAAGTGAATCAGCATCAGAATCAGTACGCAGCGACAACAGGGCTGCCGCTGATGTGAAGTTCAGAAGGCAGCAGCAAACTGCCAAAGCACGCTTGTGCTCGTTGCTGGCCAAGCAAAGACGGAGGTTCATGAGAGTTTTGCAAACTGATGACCATACCCACATCGGCCGTGATGCAACCATTCGAACTTTTCAGCAAACATATTTTCAGTCCCGCAAAACATGGAAGCCTTTTGAAGACTGGGCGGGAGAAGAGACGCCAAAGGACAGGCGACGGGCTGTTTGGCTGTACTTCCATCATTTGGCAAATGCCATCAAAAATCTCTTCTTGGGTGCTGGTGGGTCTGTTTCCGAGAAGAATGCAAGCAACGTTGATGTCATCACTGTAAATGTCAACGATGACACTGACATAAAGCTTGGTTCTGGTGCTCGGGGGTCAAGAGAAGTGCGGTCAGTGATGAACAACATTCAGCATCACGTCATATTGGGAGAAACACAGCATGACTTCAATTACAATTGGTTCTGCATCCACCAGCCGTTGGTGGCATTGAGCCGTGCAACCGCTGCGAATGTGCTTAAGGAGTTTTTGTCCTGGTCGCTTTGGATCTGCAATTCTGTAGGCTGGCGGCTTCAAGCTTTTGGAGTTCCACAGGATGTGTTTAGACAAGTGCGTCGGCACACGATGATCTTTGTGGGGGATGCCAACAAGGTAAATGACGCCTTGTTTGGGCAAGTGGTCAGTTTGGTCCAGCAGCAAAAAACACTTGACAGTGACAGTGTAGCCGAGAGCGGGAGTGCTCGCCCATTCACCTTTGGCTTGCAAATCAAATGCCAGATTCATCAAGTGTGCTTAACTCGGAAAACATTGGCGCTCGGCTTGAAAGGCTTCTGGCCGACTTTGGTCCGGCTCGCACATTTGTACGAAAGCCATTCATTTCGCCAACGCATCTACCTGTCCATTGCTCAAATAGTGCGGGAGAACTTTGACTTCTTCCTCGTCTCAGAGTTGCCACCCGAGGCAACTTTGTGGAGAGAGACCGCGATCCGCAGGTTGAAGTTGTTCTCTGATTCTTGTGCTGGAAGGGGGTCAGCCACTTCAGTTTCCAGAC